CCAAAAAGGACTCTGGCATGCTAATATTGTACATTAATATATTGAAATAAAAAAATACTTAAAGACAGCTGTATCAAATCCAATAAATGAAACACCTGTAGGTCAGTAATGAATATGGTTCTCTCAGCGACTGGTAAGAACCGTGGATCAGACTCTTCATTTTCCTTGTGCAGTTCTAGAAGTGCTAGAAGAATTTAAAATCTCTAGATGGACTTCTGGTATTTCCCTTTATTGAGGGCTTATGCTCTGTTTTAACTTTTTTTTTTTGAGTGGAAGAAGTTTAATAATACAGCTTCACACTGGCAAGGATAATTTCTCCAGAAACACTACAGGCTCCTGAAACAACTCTAGCAGTGTCTGTAGTTATAAAAATGTGAACTGGCACTAACGCAATATCTGTCTCATGCAACTACCTGATGCTGATTTGGAGCTTCATAAAAACATTCTGCCTAACTTCCCCGTACTGCTTATTTCATACCTGATGAGTCTTTGGATCATCCCATTCAAACTTAAGACTTGTCTTACTCTTTCCAAAATGAGTGATCTCTTGTGTTCAGAATTCAAGGCTACCGATAAGAAGGAATCATTGTGGATCAGAAGCAGCAGGCTAAAAATTGGGAAGATAAACTAAGACAAAGCTTTTATTAGACTTTTTTAAGAATTCCTATCTTTTAACCAGACAAGCATTTCTAGCAGTCAAAGGCTGAAAGATTCACTTTTAGTGACGTCTGGCCTTTGCAGCACTTGTATTTAACAGCTGCACTGTATAGCAACAGCAAATTAAATTGATGTTTTGTTTTACTTCTGGTATAATATGAGTTGTTTGCATTTTGGCAAGCTCCATCTGAAGTAACTGAGAAGGGTTAATTGCAGACCACTGACCTTAGCTAAACAAAATGTAAAGCTCCGAGTTTTGATGAGAAAGCTCAGTAAGCTATGAGCTAACTCTCCTTTATTGAATTTATATTCGCAAGCTTAACAGTGTGAGGAATGATAATCCAAACAAATGAAAGTTTCCTCATATCAGTAAAAAAGCCAAGGACTGTTTGTGCCCCATACTTCTCCCAAAGCATGATAATGTTTGCAAGCTAGTCATGTTATTGGGATTGTAGGCTTTGCTTAACTAATATATCACTGCATGACAATAAATGAACACAGCACTGAAAATGTGTACTTTCCTAATGTAAAGGCCTTCAGATGTTCTGGAGGGTAGGAGATTCTTCTGCTCTACATGGAGCAGCTAGTACTTCCACTCAGTTTGACTCTGAAGTTACTACATACCATCTTGCTCCTTCTAACATTAATAGCAAAACTCTCACTGACTTCTCCAGGGGTTAAACAAGTCTATTACATTCACTCTGTCTGGAGTAGGAATGGTTTGTTTTGATTTAGAAATCTGATTTTCTCTTACATCAGGTGTGCTTAAAACTCACAGCAAGTAGCTAAGCTTGTCATAATCAAGTATATGTTTAAGCTGAAAGAACACCTTATCTAGGCTGTGCACAGAGTCAAGATGTAAAAACTGCATTTCATTAACAGCTCTGCACTTTTATAAGTTCAGTAGTTAAGCTAAGTGCATGACTGAAACTGCATGGTATGTCAGCTTCAATGAAACAGCTGTTTTATTGTCCTAGTTTAGTTATCTCCAGCTCAACTTACCCAAGTAACAGCAACATTTCATAAACCTATCAACACTTCCCCAGTAAATACTTTCTTCTAACACAGAAGTTGCTGAATCAAGCACCAGGCGTTGGCTAGCTGATAGTGTTTGCTCTTATGCTCTATTAAACAGTAGAAAATAAACCAAAATTGGATTCTGGTATTGGATCTTCTTCACTTGTCCTCTATTTTTAAACAGACTGCAGTATTTACAAGAGGAGAAAGAACTTGTTCTGTGAGTAGGCTCCAAGTTTTGTTGTTTTGTTGGTTACTAAAACATTCTCCAAACATAACTTACGTGAGAAAGAAAAGATAATTTGTCAAGCAGGAAATAAATACAAAGAAACAATTTTCTTTACTCATTTTTGGGCTTTCACTTCAGAACACAGATTTACTTTCCCTTCCCCCAAGTTAATATCACCTTTCACAAAATGGGATCGTGAGGTACGTTATCAGAAGGAAGTTAAATAAAGTATCATCCAGATCCACTCAGCTATAAAGTCCAGATCTTTCTTTTTCCCCCTCTGCTGGGGAGTTTATTGGCAACCTCATCCTCTGATGATGACATATAAGCAGGAGATTGATTTCAGATGTGTATTGCTTTCTCCTAAACGTCATCTTTGATGTGGATATTTTGGTTACCTATTTTTTTGGTCAATTTATCTACCCAAATCTGCAACAGCTCTTCAGGGAAGTGCAGGTAACAGTGTTGGGGAAGACATTTTTGACTTATTCGTGAACCCCTGTATCAAATAGGTTTTCAGTTCCAGCCGTGACTCATTTGAAGTAGTTACTGCTGGCAACAGTGGCTGAATAAACTGGTTATATGTGTAACCCCCTACTTGGATGATTTTTAATGATGTACTACAGATGATTCCTTTCCTTGGGCTTTGCTAGCTGACATCATCTTGGGTTCCTAATTCCTCTTTTCCTTCCCTTTCTTCATCCTCCTCCCTTTTAAATTTTCTTCTTCTTTTTTCAGAGTCCTCTGCTGCAAAAGCATAGAGGACGGCACCCATGACAACTGCAGGTTGTATAAGCTTCTTCATTTAGATTGTTATTTAAAGTTCAACTTTCATGATTAGTCAAATGAATCAAAAAGATAATTGAGAGAGAGACATTATGTGACACAGACATTAGTCACTACTGCTGATAGTTTGGTATATGGTTTTGTATCACCTATGCAAAATGTGTTGGTGTCAAGCTTGTATTCACTGGGCATTTGTCTGTAAGAAATTGTCTGGACTTAGAGTGAATTTTCTCCTCGATTTTTCTTCCATGATTATCATCTTTCCATCTGTTTGTCATAGCTCTCTGTGGCTTGAAAAAGGTGTAAGGAGAAGAAGGTCACTCATTTTTTCAGACCTTGTTCCTTTCAGCTTAGTCTATTGCCATGTGCTTCTTAGTCACTGAGTGACAATGGTATAACTCTCACCCCCAAGCCCTCCTATTCAATTTAACTTATCAGGGTCTCTTAAGAGTTTTGTTCCTTTCTGGTTTGAAAGACAATGCAGTATGCACTGCTGTAGTTCTGCACACCTCACTTCTCCTGGTGTTAATGAGATTCTGGAGTCAGAACCTCTAAAATCTGTTTGAGATCACAAGCTTCAGTCCCCTGCACGATGGAGGGATTCTGTTTTGCAATTTCCTTTTCACATTTTTGTCTTCCAAGGTTTCAGGCTTGTTTTCAAATGCCAATCACTACAGAATTGCTAGGTTTGAGCTGTAGGCTTTCACTGACGGCCAATTGCTTTTTTTTGTGCTGCAACGCTGTTACTGGCTCCTGGGGAAATAAACTCCATAGGCATCCTGCTCTGTGTTTCGTGTCTGGAGCACAATATGCAATTACTGTTACACAGCCTTTGCCCAATGTCAAGCTTGTAGCCCCACACAAGTTCTGAAGGTTAGTGGTAGTCTCAGCTCCAGGTACTTGTAAGCGAACGTACAGCTTCTAGATATTAATGACTGTTTTTTATAGAGAACCTTGTGGCAAGGATGCAGAATATAACCCAGAGCTGACTTAAGAAACCTGCATAGGGAAAGCAAGTCTAATTTAATACTGTTATCTTTTTCAGGGTCCATCCTTTTGCTCTTTGCTGTTGAGGGAGTGGGGCTATATGTGCCCACTACTTACTTTAGTGACTAAAAGGGGACTTAAGCAGTATTTTGATCAAAGAAAAATCTTCTTATGTGTCCAAGTGCAGGGGATCATGCATGTGTGCTCCCAACATAGTGGGGGGCCTACCATTTTTCCTGTTATATCTGGGCCACTGAGAAACACCCATAGCACAAAGTCCAACATAGTCCTTGCCCTTCATAAAGAGTTGCAGAAACTTTTTCTGGGCATCTTAACGCTTAGAGGTCATACATGAATTAGTAGACCTATGTTAACCCCTTCCTTTCAACTAATATTCCCAAAGCCTATAGGAGTGCCCTAACCACTGTCCAGTCCCTAAACTTCATAGCTGTCCCTGAAACTGGTCTGGATACTCTCTTGTGGAATAGATTTCAGTCCTCCTAGGCTGGGAAAAGACCTGAATCTGAAGCTCAAACTCCCTGGGGGAATGCTCTACACATTAAGTCACAGAAAGCTTCCCTTCTGTACAACAGCTTATATAGTATGTAAGGAAACTCCATTTTCTTTAGAAATTGCATATGTTAAAGAAATCAGTCCTGCTCAATTACAAAGCTACCCAAAGGAAATGACTGAGTACTCTGGACAAATGGAGACATCCATCTTGCAATCCTCACACGCTGGTGAGGATTAACGAGGATATAAACAGGGTAAGGAGATGGGATAGGAAGTTGAGATCTTCCTGTTCAATGTTCGGCTTTTTTTTTTTTTTTTAACTTCACTTGATGTACAGCAACGCTAGGTACTTTGGTCTATCTCTGAATCAGCATGCTGGCACCTACAAAGGCATTGACTATATGGGAAGTCCTAAGTAGTTGTTTTGGGTCTCCCCTATCATGACAGTATAGCATTTAGTATAGGATTTTACATAAAGAAAATGTGCAGGGTTTTTTTGTAATTCAGAAACCATTCAACCACTGAAATGTGTACACCAGATACCTTTAAAAACCTGGATGCAAATTTACACAGCATATATGCTTAATTGAAATCTTCTCCTTCCCACAAGAACACACTGATTCTTTGACACAATGATCACAGCTACTCATATGCTAGAAAACTCAAAAAATCAGTTTGATTCTATCCCAAAGCATATATTAAATGTCAAAAGAATATACTGCTGCAAAGGATCTGGTGGCTTGCCACAATGGAAATGACTCAGCTAGCTTGTTTAAAGAATGATATTTTAATTGCTTTGTAGATCACAAACCTGCCAGCCTTGTAATTTACACTGCTGAAGAACAAGACGACATCTCTCCTTGGCAGACAACTTCTTCTTCTCTCCTGCTGCTGTATCAGCCAAATCTTTATACCTAGAAAAATCAGCAGTAGAGTTACTCTAATGGCCTGGTTGACATCTTTGCAGACACTGTCAGTTTTCCTTTGACTCGCAAATCTTTGATATCTGAACTGGAAGCTTAGGATTCTGCTAAGAGTGAAGAAAACAAGGCGGTCAATCACTTTAAATCTTTTATATTATTAGACATGACCTTGGTTAATAACAGTGTGGGACAAGTGATGCCTAAAACCCAGATTTGCTTCCTGTCAGTTCTTTGGATGCCTCACTGAAAAGCAATGCAGAAAGAATGAAAGCCTCACCAACTGATTTCATTGGTAGTGAATCGGGTCACTGAAAGGAGGGAAATATTTTTTTAGTATATGTCATATGACATATGCCTATTAAGGAGTAATTCATAAGAAAGTGACATTGATAAAAATGTTTTCCATCAGTCTGAAATAATTTTTTCTTCATTTTGAACAAAAAGTCTTATAGCAAAGAGACTTTAAGGAACTCGATCAGTTTACTCTGTCGGAAAGAAGATCAAGAGGAGATTTGATTGTCGCATTGAGTACCTTCAAAGGCAGAGAATGCTAGATATTAAAGGTCTCTTTGATGTACCAGATAAAAGAACTAAACTTTTAGTTTAGTTTAGGAAACTTAAGTCATACAAAGTCAAATACCATATAAAATTCAAATTTTAACTGTGGACTTACTACAACATATTCCTAAAGAAACAGGTGGATTTTATACATCTCGATGCTTCATATTATTACTATACTTTCTTGAAGGTATTCCTCAGTCTAGATCTGACTGGATCTAATGAGCTAGAATGTTTTTTCATTATAAAAAGCCAGCTTTTGAAAAGGAAAGATTTTACAAATGTGTCACTTTTGATTAAAGTCCCAATGAAACAGGGGTAAGTTTTGAAGTTTGTGTGTTAAGTACATTTCCTGACATTTTATTTATTTGGTTCCTTAACAGCTGAATTCACCTATAGCTCTGGTGCAACCCAAAACTGTGCTGTCCTGGGACCACTCACACAGACCATGGCAGGCAAAGCTGCAGGGCTGGAATGACTCCAGGGACATCTATGGTCCCAGGAGCTGTAGCAACTCTGGAGCAACGTCTGCAGGAAATCTGCTGTAAGGACAAATTTCACCTAGACTTCTAGTTTCCTGGAGCTGCACAGACCCTTGGGTATCTCAGCTCCTCCAGTCTGGAAATGTTCACTGGTCTGGTAGCAGTCCTGCTGAGGACTCCATGGCTAAGTCTATACTAGTAATTGAAATGTGAGAGGTATTATTTCTCTGGCATAGAAACCGTCTGGCAAAAAAACATCCTATTTATTAAGTATTCTGCTATGTTCTATTAAACTGTCACCTTCCAACAGAGTGTAGCCATATCTAAGCTGCCTTCTGGGACTGGTCACTAGCCTGTCTTAATTCCCAAATCGTGCCCAGGAATTGTTTGGAAGAATGCTGCTTGGAAGGGGCCAAAACTTCACCAGAGATCCTTTTAGTTTGTCTAACGCTCCAGATTAGCAGTAGAAAACTGTGGTTCCTACTTTCCCAATAGCTCAACCAGCTGTATGGGCATGAAGACATTTGTTTTATGGACTGCTAGTAAGGCTGGGGCCACCTCATTTCCATACTTGTATCAACTGGATTTTCTCGGAAATCATGGAGAATCAGAGGTGTTAGAGAGACAACTGGAAAGCTTAGCAACTGCTGACTGAAACAAAGATGATTCAGCATTGACTCACAATGCATGAATGTGAAGAAGTGACTGTGAAAGTGGTCAGCCTGAAACTCACTCACAGCAGAAACCCAAAGAAACATATTTTCTTCCTGAAACAGAGCCAAATTAAAATTAACAAGGTTGAAATTCTAAGTTTGGATCAGATTTACTTTAGATCCATGAAAATCACAGGACTCAAAACAAGGATAACCAAACATTCTTTACAATCTGTATTACACAGGAGGCCAGACAAAAATGATCCACTGCTTCCCCCCGCTTTAAAAGTCTCTGAAATTCCACCACATTATCCTGGAAGTCTGATCAGCGTTCACAATTCCCTTCTATCCATTAAAGCAAGCTCTATCTTAGGAAAAGAGGATGGGCTAAGGGTTGTGGTAGCAGAGAAAGAGCTAACAATGGAAATTTAATTCTGCCACAAACTTCCTCTGTGAACACAGCAAGTCATTTGGAAGATGATCTACCTTTCCCTATGTTAGACACTGAAAAGCTACGCTCCTAGCCTGAATTAGTCATCTTGTTCTCAAAACACTCTGTGAAGATAGGTCTTTCCATAGGGTGACTTGTTCTATGCATCCTAGATATTTTTGTTAAAATGAGAAGAGGTTGCCCTCTGGAGGTGCCTTTCTCTACTGACCCTAGATGGACTCAGAAGAGAAGTCCAGGCTGGATGCTTGCAGCCTGGGTGGCTGAGAGGAATCTCACAAATCTACTTGTCTGACTGACTTACTCATCTGCAGAGTAACTAACAGAGGGACTAACAGAACTTCCTTATTTCTCCTATCTATCTTGTTCAAATATACTGGCTATCTAAGCACCTAGGACGAAAAAGCACCTTTAGGCCTGGTGTCATCATCTGCCATCTCAGATCAATCATTTTTATCTTGTATAAGACCGCTTAAACAAAAACAATGCAAAATTTGTAGCTATTTTTCAGCCAGAATGGTTCCTGGATTTGATTCTCAGCCCAGTTGTGCAAATACCAGTGTTAACAGCAGGGAAGTAATGGGAACAGGTAAGTGGGAATGAGCAGACCACACCTGTTGGTGGCAGCCCAGATTTGTCCTGGACAAAAGTGGTTGTGTAATCATATGCTTATTTGATTTTTTGTACTTAATTTTAGGTGAGTTAAAATATTTAAACTTTCTTCATTATTTTTTTTCCTTTTGGGGAGATAACCAAACACTATAGCTTTGGCTTAGGCTTTTTTTTTTATACTAAACTTGCTATTACCCTCAGTAAAAAATGGTGTCAAAAAGAAAGCAAAACAAAATTGACAACGAACTAACATATAAAAAAAGAAATAAAAAATTATAAGTGACACATTATTATCAAAACACAAAATGACATATCTTTAGTGTATCAGATAGATACTTTCTACTGTGAACTCAGCTTGTGTTACCATGTTACACAATAATTTAATGTCCTCTTAAATTTAACCCTTTCATGGTCTCAAGAATAGCAAAAGAATTTATTATTTTTCAAATTTACTGTATCACAGAAAATAGTAATAAAAAATACTGAATTTATGGTGCAGGCTTGTATAGATAAACTTGAGTTACTTGCAAACAATAGGGCTTGCTTCTGGGGAAATGTAATCTGGAGAGTCTTTGAAACTTTCCCTTACCAGAGAATTCTTCCCCCATCACTGCAGCCTTAGTTCACTCCAAAATGAATGAACAAGCCCAATTAAATATCAGGCTTCTTCTCACTGACAGGTCATACATTTTGCTGAAAGTAAATAATGCAGAGCATATTTGTAAGGCTTTAGAGAGGGTCCTGAGGAATCCAGGGAGCATACTCAGTTCTACCTTGCTAAAAATGTCTTTAATCAGGTGAAATACGCTTCAGCTAAACTTGGATGAGTTAGTTGTCTAGAGTTTCTTAAGAGTCAGTAGAAGACTATTCAGGTGCCATATACCCTACTCTAATATTGATGCTTAAAATAGGTCAGATGAACTGTGCACTGTAAGACCCCCATTTCTTTCCATTGAGTATAAAGATAGTCTGTGCTGTTGACTCCAGCATAGACATCTAATATTAGACAAAGTGAATCTCTCCCCTAGCCAAGTCAAGAAGCTGATAAAAAGCAGTATTTTATGGCCTAGCCAGAGCAACTCATTCACTAATGGATCCAACAGTCCTCCACCACCATGTGAAGACTAACGTAGTGTTGATTCAGAAATAAATGCAAGACCTCTTCGCGTGCACCCCTCTTCCAGTTACAAGTTGAGGCAGAGAACACTATCATTGGGGGGCTCTCCCCAATGCCCCTCCACAGGACATCAGTGTGAGAGAAGCTCAGTTTTCCCCAGCTTTGTCCTTAGCACCCTCCTTGTCCTAACTCGTCATTTTTACACACCTAAACAGAAGAAAGAGCTTTTGGCTAGAAAGGCTAGCACGGTGAGCATGTACAGACTGGGCAGGACCCTCTGGTGTTGTAGAAGCTGTGCTCTGACCTCTCTTCCTTTACTTCTGAATGATTTTTTTGTTTGTTTGGACTAGATACTGCTGCCAATACCTTCAGGTAGCTTGTGAATATGGAAAACTCAGTTCTCTTGGGTCTTCACAGATAAGGATGTTATCTGATCATTTTCTCCCTCACTTCCCTAAGTGCACAGCCGACAAGATCCAGCAAGCTGTTTTTTCCTGAGACAGAATATTCCTGAGTTCAGGTTATGGCACAGTAACCCACAGTAATATTCTCAGGCTCAGCACGCTATTTAATTTACATGGAGTGTGCGCAAATAGGCTGTAGGGCTGTACTCCCAGTTCTGTACGCACAGCAAATCTTTAAGCATTGGAATAAACACCACACACTCAATTTCAATAGCGCATCAACATGCTAGAGGATACTAATGGAAAGAACACAAAGTGCAAAGGGCACAAAACCAAGCAGCTCCAAATCAACAGCTTAAACAAACCACATAGATGTCCTTGAACTGAAGCCTCAGAATGACTTTGTTTGTTTGTTTCCTTTTTGCTATTCTTTTTCTAAGGTCTCTCGCTAGCCTAGCTGAGAAAGAAAGACCAAAAATGACAAAGTCAGAGGTAGCCACTGACTGCAATCCAATGTCCTCGGTAAGAGGACAGCTTCTAACATCAGAACTCAAATTTTCCTGAAAGCAGCTCCTTCTCTCCATGTCTTTTGTCTTGTTATTTAAAAAATAAAAATCACGTATGGCTGGCATGAACTGTTTTATAAGAGTGCTAAGTAATGTAGTTTTAAGTTTTAAGTATCCAAACAGAGCTTATGCAAAGAAAAATAATCAGTCC